TAAAGAACTTATTATTTAATTTAAAATTAAATATAAATTTTTATTATCTTATTATTTATAATCAATAAATTTATTAAATATTTTAATTATATTTTATATAAAATACTTTAAATATTATATTATATTAGATGAATAATAAAAAATATATAAATATATATTAATAGTATTATTTATATTATATATAAAATACTTTAAAATAATATAATAAAATATGAATAATTCTTTTTAATTTATAATAAAAACTTATTTATTTATAATTTAAAATAGCTATCAGCAAAAGTATAAATAATAATATAAAAAATGAAATATTAAATTGAATTCTCTCTCTTATTTATTACTTATCTAAAAATATAAATTCAAGATTAGTAAGAATAAAAAAAGCTATAATTTAAATTATAAAAAATTATATAATTTTAATATTAGTAATAAAATAGTATGTCATTCATAGAAATAAATTTCAATTATAATAAAATATAAAATAGTTTTATATTTATAAACTCTTGATAATAAAGCTTATAAATTATGTAATTAATATAATTAATTGTTATACAAAACTTTCAATAAAATTCAATTGAAATATTACTTTAATAAAAAAGATTATTTAGAATTAATAATTATTAAATATATAAAAATATTAATATGAGAAAAAAATAAAGTTTAGATTATATAATTATTTATTTATTTTTATTCTTTTTATTTAATAAAATAAATACTCTTCTTAATAATTTCAAACAATAAAATGAAGAATAATAATTTTTATAATTCTTTACAAATTAAAAGAAATTATTTGATGTTTGAAGAAAATAATCAAGAAGTTTATTATAATCTTAATAATAAAAGTTAACTAATTTTTAATTTATTCTTGAGTATACCTATAGAAATAAAATCTACAAAAGAAGATCTAGGACACTTGTTTTCCAGTTTAAAATCGAATTATCTAATAATTATTTAGTAATCAATAGTCTATTCTCTCATTCAAAATGTTAATAATAAGCTGGTATTGTAAAAAAACAGATAATCAATGCTATGGCATATATTTATTAGATTTTACCTTCATTTGTTTTCGTTATGTGCATGAACTGGTATTGTTGATTTGGCATTGATATCATATTTGGTAGCCAATTAATATTAATATACTACTAAACATACACTATTCCAAAAAGAACGTGATAATTTGTCAATAAAATATATACAATTAAAGTAATTATAACATGAACATATCATTGCCTATCAAAGATCTGGACAGTGTCGCTGCAGTTGGTAAAGACTTTGAGAATGTCATTGCACTTTGGAAAAGTTTCGATTTGACAATTATTAATGGTAGAATGAATGTGGATTTAAATTTTAAAAGAGAAAAATAACAATTAATACTATTACTACTACTATTATTATGTTCATAATTTGTTTATTATAATATATATTTTGTAATATTTTGATTATTTAATCAAATTTATTAAATATTAATATAATTGCCTCCCTAATTCATCTAACTTTATTATTAAGTCTAATAATAAAGCTAAATAAATTAGGAAGAAATAAAGTAAATACTATATATTGATATGATTGATTTTTTTTAAATAAATGAATAATTATTCGGCGCCTTTTGCCTTCTTCGCAGGATGCGCGCTGGTATTATCATTCGCGTCCCTTCTTTGATGATTCGAGTGGATCGTTCACTAATTTTGTGACCTTTTCAGTTTATTTTGTGGTCAATCGTGATTGTTTATTTGTTGATGATCTAGTTAATTTCTTCTTTTCGCCAACAGTAGTAGCATTGGCCGATTTATTACGTGTATCCACATTGACTATTTCAGGCATCCTAGATCGGACATGTGATATTGGTCCTTGATTAGGAGATCGTGATCGTGATCGGCCTCCATTTGGACCAGTTCTCGGCTTGTTTACATTGAGCATAGCCAATCGTGATTGTTTATTTGTTGATGATTTAATTAATTTCTTCTTTTCTCCAACAGTAGCATTGACTATTTCAGGTGTCCTAGATCGGACATGTGATATTGGTCCTCTAGGAGATCGAGATTGCGATCGCGATCGGCCTCTATTTAGACCAGCTCTCAACTTGTTTGCATTGAGCATAGCCAATCGTGATTGTTTATTTGTCGATGATTTCGTTAATTTCTTCTTTTCGCCAACAGTAGTAGTATTGACCGATTTATTACGTGTATCCACATTATCCACATTGACGATTTCAGGCGTCCTAGATCGGGCACGTGATACTGGTCCTCGATTAGGAGATCGAGATCGCGATCGGCCTCTATTTGG